CTCATAGACACAGGGAGTTGAAGAGAAGGGGGGGGGGAGAGCAGAAGCCCAAGATGAATGGATTGGATTTCTGATGACCTCATCAACTCAGCGAAGGTAAGCGGGTAAGCTAGGAACACGGGCCTCATGGCTATGGGGGAACCAAGCACCAGAGACAGCTCTACTGCAGGAGACTGATTGGACCCCATGTACTTTATGCATCAACCCATGTCCTACTCCCCTCTCTTCCTCTCCACTTATTCTGCCTCCCACTCCAACCCCTTCCTACACTCCAGGGGAAGGGGAAGGGGAAGGGAGAAACAGAAGATCTGGCAGGCTTAAAGTTCTGAATTTTCAGAATTCGTGTCCTTGTGATTTGATCACTGGATGCTGGGTCCCAAGGAGGGAATCCCTGAGGTGGTCCAAAGTCTATCTCTGAGTTCATGGCCTTATCAATGGCAGGGAAGCTACAGACCAGGTACTGCTGGTGGCCAAGCCAGAACTCAGCAAATCCACGCCCATGAGGAGCCCTGGTTCTGGGAGTGAAGCTGTGGGAGTCCCTGCAGCTGCCTTGCTTCTCCTTGCCAAGCCCCTGACTGTCCTCTCAGCCTGAAGTGCCTTTCAGGATGGCTGAGCTTCAGCCAAGCACTACCATATTATCAAGAGTTCTGGAAACTTCTGCTAGTCCCCCCCTCTTGCTCTGTTCCTATCAGCACTCTCCACTCCCTGGCCTCAGCTTCCTCTTCTCCAATGGAACCATCAGATGGTGCACAGCTCACCAGGTCCTGACGTAATAAGGTATAGAGAACAGTCAGAAGGGCAGGGCATACAGTAAGCTCTTAGTCAATGTTCACAGACATGAGTATTAGTATACATTGGTCCTTCCTGCTTTGATGTTCCTTTTTTTTTTTTTAAAGGTACTGGTCCTTGAACTCAGGGCCTACCCAATCTCATTGAGGTTTTTTTGCATGTCTGGCACTCTACCACTTGAGTCACACCTTCATTTACAGATTTTTTGGTGGGTAACTGGAGATAAGTGTCACATGAACTTTCTTCCCCGAGTTGGCTTTAAATAATGATCCTCAGCTCTCAGACTCCTGAGTTGCTAGGATTACAGGTGTGAGTCACTAGCAAGCTCCCGCCTCCTTCCCACCTTCCTATGTCTTCCCCATGCACGGCTGGGCACTGTGAGGTCCTTCCTGTCTCTAGTCTGCTGGCCTCTTCCTGGCCTTGCTGCCTGCTCCACCCATGCAGTTCCTGCTTGTCCAGGTACTTCCTGGTGCTGCTGCCTGCACTCCTGGGCTGCAGTTACCCTCTTATTGGCAGCCACCAGAGGCCCAGATTTCCTGGGGCTGGTCCTGCCTTAAAACCTCTACAGCTATTGTCCCCATAAGGTCACTAGCCAGACTTTGGGCCCTGGCCTTTGGCTCAGGAAATGTGTGTATGTGTGGGCTAAAGCAGTGTTGACCTCAGTCTGCCTGCTGATATCCGCCGGATGGAATGTTCCCAGGGCCCCGCAAACTCAGTGAGTTTCAGCAACTTTCCAAGTTCTTCTGCCTCAGTCAATGGATCTGCTTCACTCAAAGAAATGCAGTGGTGGCATTGCTAACACCTCTCTTCTGACCCCATGATCACAGTACCTAGTTAGTCTGAATTCTGGAATCCTCTGTCTCAAACCTTGCTCTAGACTAAATCTTTCCCTCCACCCCCAACTGCACATACTTGTCCTCTCTCCCCCTTATGGACAGAGATAGGCAATGGCTTACCTCCTAGCTGCCTGGAAAACCCCTGAAAGCAGGGATCTTGGATGATTCACTACTTAGCCACTCAAGTGTGAGCAGGAGGGACTGGAGTCTCTGAGACTATGAATCAGGTGCCTATCTTCTTACTGTACAGATAAGCACACTGATGGCTGAGAGGACACTGGTGCAGGTGAGAGCAGGAAGAGGCCAAGCTCAGCAAGACCTGAGGACTCCAGGTGAAGCAGATGCCCCCAGCAGATGTGGCCCCTGTTGCTGGGAACTAGGCTATGCTAAGTCACAGTCCCTGCAGCTTCCATTGGAATGGAGTTGTGCTGATGTTTCTTTTCGTTTTGAGGCCTTTACACAGGCAAGTTCCTTCACCAGGAAGCCCATTCCTCCTCTGATTAGATACTCCCACCCATCCCTTACCAGGCATCTAATCTAGCCTCAGGTTCCCCAGGGCCTCAGCGGCCACACAGTGCCCTCTTCTTCAGGGGGCAATGTTCTCTTTTGTCCTTCCATTGTCCATCTTACACTGTATCACTGCAGAGGCTCCAGGTTTCTTCTAGAAACTCTATTCCCTAGGTTCTGGGTCTGAGCTCTCCCTTACAGAGAATTGGGACAGATAGGGGATGTGTGAGCATGGGCATCGGGGCTCTGCAGCTTCTCTTCCCCTGTCCATTCTCATCATCCTGTCCTTCCATTCTGGCGACACCTCACATGTCTGACTACCACAGTCTCAGTGAGTCACTGTGCTGCACAGACCCCCATGGGAATACTCATACCAGAAAGTAGCAATGGAGCCATGCCCACACCTGCAGAATTCTCTCACCCAGGCCTCCTTCCCCCGCCACTCACTGACACACCCAGGATCACAGTCAGACAAAGTCACTAACAGTCGTCAGGAAGGACAGACACACACCCAGAAAGTCTCTGGGCATTATCATATCAAGGCTCTCTCTCACTCTTGAATCCATAGGTTCAGGCATATACAGCCACAAATGTACACACCTGGTCTCTCTCTTTCCCCTCCCCCCCCTCTCTCTCACACACACACACACACACAACCATCCCAAAGTCTTACATACAGACACAGAGCAGTACACACAGTCACAAACAGAGAAAAACAGACACATACAGTTGTACACTGGCCCTGGGAGACACAGAACAATGGATACATTGTCTGGCTTGGCAGCAGCTGGGGAGAAAGGAGCCACAGTGTAGACAGAGGAGGCTGTGGGGGTGCTGTACTTTCATTCTAAGCATCCTAACCCTCCTTTTCCCTCTTCCAGAAGTCAGATTCTTCTGGGCCTGGATGTGTTCAGTGATTGGGCTCCCAGGTGCTCCTTCCCCAGACTCCTGGGATGTCTGTTGGAATGAACCAGACTCCCTTTCAGGCTCTCAGCCTCGATGACTCCTCTCTCTCTAGATTTGCCTCTTATCCCTGCCAGGCAATGCCTTGAGTTCTGCTTAGAACCTTTGACTTCAGCCCTCCCAGGACTCACAGGGTGTCCATTTGAATCCTACTAGCCAGTTCTTGGCAACACTGCAAGTTCCTATTGTGGCTGAGACAGATCATGATGGCCATCCCTTAATAGTAGCAGATGAAGTCACTGTACTATTAGTGAGCTGTAGGAGCATGGTGCCTCTCCCCATCCCCAAACTAGCTCTTGCTTCTAGCTTTCACTAAATCTCAACAAGAAATTCTTCCAGGGGTATCCTGGAAGAGAGATCTGGGTAGCCCAGATCTCTCCCAGCTCTCTTACCCTCAGCTACAGGGAACTGCTGTGTGCATTTGGGTTTTCCCATTCTGAACCTGATATCCAGGTCTCTAAAATTTGAGGGTGAGGCTAATAAAGTATTCTATGGTTTCAGAGTGGGGGCAAGGGATAAAGGATGCAGAAGTACCCAATACAAAAGCCACCTCGGCCCTCCACAATGCTCTGTGGCTAGATCTGTGGGGAGTTTCCAATTTCTCAGGCCTCGGGGTGTCAACACACCCCACAGCTTTGGGCCTCCCAGGAAGCCTTGCCTGTAGGAGGGAGGGACATGCTGAACCATTTAGGACACAGCCTTACTTTTGCAAAACTTTGCCTCCTCCAGCTATCATCACGGTACTCCTGGGATTTGAGGGCAGACAGCCATGGGCATACATCTGTGGCTATCCAGTAGTCTGGAGTTCTCGCTGGAAGAAGTAGAAGAGGGAAAAGGTCTTCAGCCACCTTCTACCCTGCTCTGCTTCCAGCTCCCAAGTTCAAAGGCAGGGTTGAAGGATGGGCAGCCTTAGGAATTGTCCCTAAGGGAGTGTGTCCCTATCCTTCAGAGCTGGAGTGTTTGAGTCCCACACTGGGGTTCTGAGGGGAATTCTGATGTAGGGAAGCAGATCTAGGGGGAGAGGACATAAAAATCAAGTCAGACAAAAATATTTTTTTTTTTTGGTCGGTTGTGGGGCTTGAACTCTGGGCCTGGGCGCTGTCCCTGCACTCTTCAGCTCAAGGCAAGTGCTCTACCGCAAGTCAGACAAATTATACTAGCATATCTGAGCTTCACACCCCTCGATTTTCAAAGGGACCGTGGAGATATCTGTCAAGGGCACCCCCACTCCTATCCCCTAGCTGAACTTCGTAATGGGTCCAGGCCGAAGGCAGGAGGGTTGATTTCTCCATTCTGGATCAGGATGCCAGGCCACCAATCAGCAGAGAGGAGAGAGATCATGGGCGTCCTTCACAGTCTGACCAGAGTGACACGGAGTCGCGTCCGACCCCCCAGGCTGGCTGCAGCAGGCAGGCAGGGACGTGGGTGGAATCTCTGGCCTAAGGTGGTGCCGAACTCTGTGCGAGGCCCTGCAGCTGCGATGACCACATACTGTATTTTGGAGCACAACTCGGGACCAGCCGTCTGACGAGTCTGGGCAAGTGAGCCCTCCCGAGTTCAAGGAGAGGCTGCCAGGGGCTGCCAGTGCAGGAGCAAACCTCGGGAGCCACTCCGCCGTGCAGGGCCGCCCACCGTGAGAGGGGGCGGGGAGGGCGGAGAATGCTCGCCCCCTTTCCTCGAGGACTCCCCCCACCCGCCCCCCGCCCCACCCCGCTCCGCCCTTCCCCGACCAGCTCTCTGGAAAACCACACTTCTCCTTCCCGCGCCGGACTGTACCTGCCCTTGGCAGTGGGGTGGGATGGGGCATCAGACCTTCAGCGTCGCCCACTGCGCAAGTGGGGCTCGCGACTCGACCCCGCCTCCGCCCCTCGATTGGGCGCTTATTTAAATGCCCGGCCCCGCCCCGAGCCCTGGGCGCATATATAAAGGCGGCTCGGCGGGCGGCGGGCGGCATTCTGGCGCGGAGTGCGGCGGCGGCGGGCGCAGCTAGCGGGTCGGCCGCGGTGCCGGGGTGCAGCTGTCCCCCCCCTCTTTTTTCTCCCACACCCCTCCCCCTCAGGCGCCAGCTCCACCCCTCCGCCCGCCGGGCCGACCCCACCGAACTACCCCCTGCGGCGCGGGCCCGGGGAGGCTCCGGGCGCTCCCCCCAGCAGACCCCCCCCCCCATCATGGGCAGCCAGAGCTCCAAGGCTCCCCGGGGCGACGTGACCACCGACGAGGCTGCAGGCGCTTCCCCCGCGAAGGCCAACGGACAGGTGGGTGCGCTCGGCTCCTCCGGTCCCGGGCCCCTCTACTCGCGCCTCGCCCCTTCTCGAGCCTGGGGCCGGGGCCGCGCGCTTTGTCCGGCCCGGGACACGCGGCGCCCCCTCCCCCGCTCGGTCCCTTTG